TATATGTGTATATATATACTTGTATCTGTGTGGAATTATATTTTTTTTCCTATGTTTGTTTCAGTGTTAGTGTGAGGTCTTGAGGCTGCATCTACTTTGAGTCTGAAAGCAAATGAAATTGCACTTTCAATGTACTGTAGGCAATGTGTTCCAGGACTGTGATGTGACAATGTGGCCTAGCACATTTATTCACATCAGCTGGAAGCACACAGCATTGAAGTTGGTTTTAGTAATCAACTCAAGCATGCTGTGGAACTTCCAGTTTTCTTCTGTGCATATATATATGTCTGGGCACATAAAATGCATATATATATGTGTGTGTGCGTGTGTGTGCGCGCACGTGTGTGTGTATATCTTTTGCATGGTGTTCGTGTATTGTTAGTATGTAGTTAGTTGACTGTGAGGCCCTAATAGGTCTGACTCAGCCTTTATATGAATGTGCCTAAGAATACCCTCAAGTAAATATAGAGTAATTCACATTGTGTGCAGACAAAATTCTTGTTTAGTTTTGTATTTCTTTTATAAGTATTTTCTGGCAGATTGGAATAACATGTTAAAACGTTAAATTGTGTCTGTACACTGCATGTAGTCCGTATGCAAGAGTCAATTTCTTTTTTTGTATATGTTATTACCTTTTTTTGTGTTTTGTTCCAGTTCGACGAGTCCCACCGAGGTTCTCTATCCCCCCCACCAATCATGAGATCATGCCTGGCGGGAGTGTCAATATCACATGTGTTGCGGTGGGGTCACCAATGCCATACGTGAAATGGATGCTAGGAGCAGAAGATTTGACACCTGAGGATGACATGCCAATAGGGAGGAATGTCCTTGAGCTTAATGATGTCAGACAGTCTGCAAACTATACTTGTGTTGCTATGTCTACCCTTGGTGTTATAGAAGCAATAGCACAGATAACTGTCAAAGGTATATCCCAAACACATATATTTGAACATAGTCTTTTTTTGGTTCATTGCCATGTTCTCAGGAAACATAATGCACTGGAAGAGGCTAAATGCCTCTCATCCTCTTAAAGGAAGAGGGTAAATATTTCAGACAGTCACTGATACAAGAGAAAATACAGATTCAAAAAGAAAAAATACAGCAATAATAAGCTGATCATAATGTTCTATTATTCTCCTATGTCTAGCTCCCAGCCTTCATTTCAAACAAATAAAGTGTCTTGTAATCTTACATATACTTGTCAACAGCAGGAGCTGCTAAGAACCAGTCATTTGATTTTCAGAGGTGCTGGGAGTCCAAGTATCATGTTCACTAGGTAATCAGAAAGTACAGGTTCCAAAAATATCTGAAAATTAAACTGTAATGGTGCACTGTCTGTCTATAAGATTTCTCTTCTGCATATGTTTACAGGATCTATTACAAAAGTCAATATCTTTAAATTATATCAAATAAACCTTTACACTACTAAACTGGAAGATTTTCTGATAGATTTCTGGAGTAAATCATTTGCCAAAAGCTCTCTCGGAATAGATGACACATTCTTTCTGTTGTTGTTTGTTTTGGTTTTTAATCTGCTTATTGTAATAGTTAGTGTCTACTGTTACAGTGCTGACAGTATTTTTTGGCATTTATCTTTAGCCTTACCCAAACCTCCTGGAACACCTGTGGTGACGGAAAGCACGGCAACAAGCATAACGTTGACTTGGGATTCTGGAAACCCTGAGCCTGTCTCTTACTACATAATCCAACACAAACCCAAAAACTCAGAGGAGCCATATAAAGAAATTGATGGGGTGGCCACAACGCGCTATAGCGTGGCTGGCCTAAGCCCATATTCAGAGTATGAATTTCGAGTAGTTGCTGTAAATAACATTGGGCGAGGGCCCGCCAGTGAGCCTGTGTCAACAAGGACTTCAGAGCAAGCACCTTCAAGTGCACCACGCAATGTACAGGCCCGTATGCTGAGCTCTACCACCATTTTGGTACAGTGGGAAGAACCTGAAGAACCTAATGGACAAATACAGGGTTACAGAGTTTATTACACCATGGACCCTACTCAACATGTCAACAGTTGGATGAAGCACAATGTAGCTGACAGCCATATTACTACTATTGGGAATCTGGTACCCCAGAAGACATACTCTGTGAAGGTTCTTGCTTTTACTTCTGTTGGAGATGGACCACTTTCTAGCGACATTCAAGTCATCACTCAAACAGGAGGTAAGCTAGCAATGAACAGAATTTGTGGGAAAAAAAAAGAAAAATACTTGCAGAAATGTTGCAGAGAGAGAATTTAAGTTTAAAATGTTGAAAAAAAAAAAAACTTCCTCTCAAGTATAGACCATTTACTCAGGCAGATTTTGCAGACAGCCTTTTCTCAATTCTACAAGTACCAGTTGATATTGAGGAGTGAAAATTATCCCTTCACACTTCCTTTTTTTTTCATCAGTATCAAGAAGTTTAACTAAAGTTTAAGTGAAATTTCAGAGAACCTTGATCCTAGGGGTAGCCAAATGTTAAGGACTTCTGTTTGTTAGTCCTCTGTGCAACAAGTGTTTATCAAGTAGTTGTTCGTAGCTTTCTTTGAGGGGTTACTTGTATTATTAGGTTTTATTTAAGTGGTGTGTGTTCCCTTATGTTTGTATCACTCTAGTGAATCTTGCTTTTGGAAATTTAAATTCTATGTGTACTGCATGTGCATTCAAGTATTTGGTAAGGTTCTAGAAACACATAAAAGAAGAAAATATTAACAAGACAACAAACCTTTGTGTAGGTGCAAGAAAGCAATTCTGTACACTTCGTATTTATGAATCAAATCCAACCTGCCCCTACAAAGTGCATGCCAGAAGGTCACAATTTTCTTGGTTTATTTCTACAGTGAGGTTATTTTGTTTCTGTACAGGATTCTAAGGCCCATGAATTAGTTTTATTAGCAAAGGACAAGCAAGCGTGGTAAAAAACATTGCAGAGAATTTTTATGAAATCAAAAGCAGGAAATTCTGGTGGATCTACACTGCAGAAAGTGTTTTATTATAATAATAAAAAATAAAACCTCCCTTTGTCTGGTGGTTTAGAGAAAGCTGTATAAAGTATTACTGTAAGTCAGTGATTTCCTAGAAATATTATATAATAGTACTTGATTTTTTTAGTACTGGAAGGCTTCCTCTTGAAGAATTTAGCATCCCTCAAATTCTTAAAAAATATGTCACCTAAGTGTAACTGAAGACAGTAATGTTTCATTCTTTTATACTTCTGCATTTTACCAATATGCATTTAATAAAGAACAGAAAATGAAGTGTTGTCCTGGAACCTTTCTAAGTGTTGTGTTACACAAAGGTCTAGGTGTTACCTTTTGCAGTATTTCAGTTGAGGAGTTACAAAATTTTTAGACCTTCTAGTGGTAGATTAAAAAGTGTCTGTGTACCTATACAAATGTAAATATGTACATTATAATTTAATATTGGTAATTGTAACCTTTTTCAGGAACTAGATTCTATATTGGTACCTGACTTCTTTTTGAAACTATTTGCAAAAGCTCTTGAAGAAGAAGGTTTAGTGAGTTCCTTATCTATATTTCCACTTAAAACTGTAAACCTTTCAGATTAGCAAGAGTTTATCATTTGCTTCCCCAAAGAAGGATGAAGCCATTGAAGTAATGAGCACTGAGGCTCAGCTGGACTGACCCAAGCTGCATTACTTGTTGAGTAATCAACTCAAAAGAGCTTTGAGAAAAGCTCTGCATAATAAAACCTTTATAGAATTTACCATTAAATGTGCCTGTTTCTGATTACTGTTGCAGTTTGAAGAAATTCTGACAATGTAACAGTGCAGGAGGGATTCTCAATGCTTATTTTCAACTTTGTAAGAAAGTTGATTTATTTATTTGTGACTATGTTAAATAGCAAAAGAAAAGAAAAGCTGTGGCATACAGGAGACGTTTTTAAGCACTGATACATGTGCTTCAAATGTGAACATTTTAAGAGAATACCATAAAAGAGAAAAATGGCTAATAAAGTCTATTGCAGTTCTCCAGTTCCGGATATGTTTAAAAGCTAAGATTCTCCCATCTTTCTATCCAGCAGTTCCTGTTCAATGAACACTTGAGAATAAAGCACACTCCTTCTTCTCTTCCACATTTGCTGTAATCTAAATCTGAGTATGATTGTTTTGCTTTCAGTATCTCAAGCTGAAACTCGTCCAGATAAATATAGTGAATTATAAAGTCCCATTTAAAAACAGTGGGAATGGCCTTAATGGAAACATATGTAAAAGAGTAAAAGTAGGAGTGGGATAATGATTACATTTTCATTGATTTTTTTTTTTTTTTGTCCTATTTTGAATCAAATAAGCTTATCATTGTAAATATGTCGTCTAACCCTTATGCTTACTTGGGGGAGATTAAAGTATATATATAACAAAATCTGATTGACACCTGTGACTTAGAAGCTCTGTTATCTTGGTTTCCTTCAAAGGTTTTCTCCCTTAAGTGTATTTTGATCTTTGGTGAGAGATTATAAAAAAGGGATAATTTGTTTTGAAAAAGTCTGTTTATAAAAATCTTTCCTTTATTGGTACAGCAGAATTGTTCTTTTGAAATGGTTGTATGAATGACTGCTCACTTTGCAGGTCAACCTAAGCTCTTCTGATAGTGAAAATTAGGTTTCTGATTAAAATAACTAGGAGCATGTAATGTTAAAATATTAAAAAAAAAAAAAAATTACATTTTGTATTTCAATATTCTGTTTAAGCATTTTCAGGAAAAGCCATATCCTATTGCAGAGTTTTTTTCAAGTATTTTCTTTACTGTAAAAAGGCACTATTTTAAGAAATTAGACAATCAGAAAAGAGGTGCAGAGCTGAGCCTTTTGAATGAGGCAAGATCAGTTCCAAAAACTACATCTAAGGCTTTATAGTGTGTTTTAGGTCAAAGGGTTTGATTCTGCTGAAGATGGAGTCAGGACTAGTATATTATTTAGGTGAATTGACTTACTAACACCAAATTTTACAATATGAAATATTTATATAAGCCTTAATGTGATAATTGTCCTTTTTCTTTACTTCAGTAGAAAACAAAATCTCTGTTAGTTTGTCTCTGTTCAGCTGCCCAGGACAAACGTTATCTTCTCATATTTCCTTTCTTTGCTTAAAATGATCAGTGCACATACTCCCTGAGCAGCATACTTTAATCTGTGTGTACAAGGAAAGTCCTTGGGATTTAAACTGTCTGTCTGCATTTGGGTTTGGTGAGGTTTATTTTTTAGTGTACAAAGAGAGGATAGATACTGAAGGAATTCAGAGAATCCCGTTTTCATTCTCAGTTCAGGCAGAAAGAGGGGAGAATGAGAGGTACACAAAGTCTATTGGGCAGTGGTTTATTGGAGAAAGAGAAGGAAAAAATATTCCAGGAAATGGATGTATACTTGTAAACATATGCTTCTTTAAATAAGAACTTGCAATATAAAACATACTGTTAATTTTAAACCAAGGATTGGAAGTGGTTTGAAGACTAATGACTATTATAGTTATAAAAGGCTAATCTTTTGAACATATGGAAAAGACAATAATGAAAAGGTCAAGTATATAACTTGCAGGGCACATAAACGGAACCTTAGTTTAAAGGAAATGAGTTAATGGTTCTGGAGTTTTTATCATAAAAGAAGATGAGAAAATCAGGGAAAGGGAGTCTGAAGCAAGGGAATACACTTCTGCGTGGTAGAGAGCTAGATACATTGCCAGACACTTCAAATTTTTTCATGAATACATGGACAGAGAAACCTCATGTCTCTGAAACTCCACAGTACTGTTCTCCCAGTGAAACACTTTATAGAAATGGTCTTGCACAAGGAAGGGGTTGATAACATGCGGCTGGAAACTCAACCATGATGCAAGAAAGCAGGTGAAAGGAAAATAATTTGGAGCTGAGGTGGGGTGCAGTATGGTATTTAAGCAACAAAATTCCCTTTGAGGAACATTTCTGGCCAGGTAACAATGAATAATTCAGCTTTTGCATAATGCCTTGGCTCTCAAAGCACGGTTAACTTCTGTTAAGTGCGACCGTCTCTGTTTACTTCATATAAATGCTAATATGATGAGACCAATATCAAGGATCTTACCCTTACATGGTGATTTCTTCATCTTTTTCTTCCTGTTAGAACACAAAATAGGATATGGATATTTTATTTGATTTTATTAAGTAATTAAATTAACACTTTAAATTTAATTAATTAATTAATCTTTATATTTTTAATCTGACTTTTTTCTAGTCCAGAATTCTGATTTTTGCAAATATGTGGATGAGCACTGGAAATGTGCACACATTATTTTTGTCACTGAACTTAAGTATGGAAGAATGCAGCTTGAAATAATTTACAATTCTACTGCTACACTGTAGAGCTAGAGTGCAGACATAATTACTCTGAAGAATAATTCATACCTGCTCTGAAGAATGATTAATCTTATCTTCTCTAGTAATTCAGACAAAACTATGTGGACTCTTTTTTACTGACCAATATGTTTATTTCATTCGGTGAGGTCCCTCAATGTCAGTTATACATATTATTTTAAGAAAGTGATTTATGGATTTCTGATTATTTTTCACAAAATGTGCTATGCTTTTTGGACATTTAAAATGTATGGTTAATTATTTTGAGTACTATGGTTCTGTGTTTGATACTGCAGAACTGCAAGCCTCAGCTGTCTTCAGAGTCATTTGAAGAGATTATTTCTGTAATAGCAGAAAGAAGAAGGATGCACAGATAGTTAGTATAATACCTATTTGGTTTTGTAATTCTATTCCATGTGAATTTTGTATTTCAAAAAGTACAAATATTGTTTTGCATAAAGAAAACTGTGGATCACATTCCACAAGAGGAACGTGGAGGGCCAGCACAGCTCTCAAGTGTTCTCAAGCAAGAAATAAGACAAGGTATACTTGGTGCACAGGGAAGTCACAGATTTTAAGGTAACTTTGTAGGGCACATTGATTTCAAAGCAGAAAAGACAGAAAAGACAAAACTGAGAGTGTTCATGCAGAAAAAATTCCATTCAGTAAGCTGACCATGTACAGCACTAGTACAGAAAGTTAGATTTGAGCTGTGTAATTAAAAACACTTCAGCAAGAGTATAAAGTCCACTTTTTTTCCCTAGTTTTTTTCTGTCTCTGAAGGAGATCACTACCTTCTGTCAGCTCTTCCAGCTTGGCTTACTTCCCATGTGCCACTGGAGAATTTTTTTGGACAGATGTTTTGTGTTCTAGACATAAATCCTAAATAGTTTTGAAAGTTGTTATTTCACTTTCTTATCTCATATTTTTTTTGTTGAATTAAGCCTTGGGTTCTCTGCTGGAATTTACCAGCAACACTGTTTAATTTCTGTTATTTTGGTTTTGTTTTCTTTCTTCTCCATCTTCTTTAGCTGTTTGGAACAATGCAGATTTCACTTCTTTCTTTTGTCACTGTTTTCAGTGTCAAAGTTGCCTAGCTGTGGTTGAAAAATCTGAGAGGAGACTAGATTTTGCAGCAAGACATTTTGTGACAAACAGCATCTGGGAAAGTCCAATTAACCACCAACTTGTCTTAAAAAAATGATAGACAATTGCAGACGAAAGACCATGAAGGAGTTTTTTTGAAAGGCACACTTGGAGGATGAGGGTGTTAAAGTGTGCAGAGACACAGTAAATACCCTTCGTTCTCTATCTACTGCATCTTTGTCATAGTGGATAGTACTAACTTTCATATGGGTCACTTTACTGGCCATTTACTGTTACTGCCTGGCTGTGTTGTATAAGGCACATATCCTGAGGACAGCTCAGAGCATCACGGGATGATTCTGGCTGACAGGGTGATCTTCTGGGGAGGTCTCCAGCCCAACATCAGCCCAGAGCAAGGTCAGGCATGAGGTCAGATTAGACTTCTCAGGGCTTCACCCAATTGAAGTGTAAAACCCACCAAGGCTCGTTATGGTCAAA